ACTTCGGGCCTTTCAGGCTATTGCTGCCCTACACGGGGTACTGAGTCCAGTTTCCTCCAATGTTGGGGCTATTTCAGAGGAAGGACCACAGAGCCAGCCCCAAACCTCAGCTTGGATGGCCTCCAGGGTCCTTCGCAGTTTGCACTCCCTGAACTTCCAGACCCCTCGCCCTCCTCACGAAGGGCACAAGGCCACCCTCAATCACCTGGCATCTCCCAGACACACTGTGCGGTTGCTCCCATGGTGCCCTCGGCTCAGGGTGTCTCGACCTGGGCGCTATGGACAGTGGGGGTTTGATGCTTCCTTATTGTGGGGGGTTGTCCATACATTGTAGCAGCACATTCCACTAGAGGCCAGCAGCACCCCCAAGTCCTGGCCATTGAAAATGTCACAAGACGTTGTCAAAGGTCCCCTAAGGAGCAAAATAGCGCCTGGTCAGTAACTACTTCTTTAAGGGGAATGGACTTCTCGTCATGGGTCAGTCCAGCAAACTATGCCTCTATCATGCTTCAGCTCAAATGTCATCTTTGCCTCCGAGCCTGTAGCTACCCTGGCAGGGAGCCGTATCTTCTCTCTGCTGGCTCCTAAGCCTTACAGATTTGGCCCTCATTCGGGGGTGCTTCTGTGGCACTGCAATGGTTTGTTTGTTCCTCGTCCCCCACAATGAGACTGTGAACTCCCAGAGGTCAAGGCTTTTGCTTCCAAATTCATCTTCTTAAATCCTGAGCATTTAGTACAATGCCTGATCCATAGAAAGCGCGAGAGAAATGTTGACTGGACGATCTGCCATTCTAGGCTGGTATTTTCACCAGAAAGTACAGTTATCCTGTCATCTAGACTGGTGCTTTCTGGTAATGATGCCTTAGCGAATGAAGCATCACAGTTATCCTGTCATCTAAGGTCACCTATGAAGCTCAGCCACTGGCATAATCTCAGCATCATGACATCACTTGATACTTGCTTGAAAAATAACTTTGCCAAAGGAATATCCCACATTTTATTAATCGTCATAGTAATAGTGGCAGTATTAGTATTAGTATTAGAGCAACATAGCAGCTGCTGCCATGTGAATGTCTTTTCTGTATTCTGTCAGAGGTTCTCACTCTAATTGCTAACCCTTATAACATTTCTGTGAGGCACGTCTTATTACTCCCATTTTACTCAGGTGGGCAAACTGAGGCTCTGAGAGTTTAATTCACAAACTCAGCATCCTGGTGGGCCTGGGATTATAAGCAAGGCAGTTTGACCCCAGCCCCCAATCACCGTCCTGTCCTTTTATTCTTAAGGATGATTCTCAGATAAGGGGTCACTGGAAATTGGAGTGGCCTCAGTGTACCAGATGAATGGGTTACTGACACCCAGTTGGAACCTGTGTCACTACAATGACATCAAATGCCATAAAAATATGGAAAAAAATCATTTTGCTGCTGCATTTGCATACCCAAGTACGGGAGGATGGGTTGTATAATCAAATTATGTGGAGTAATGAAAAGGGAACATCATTTGAATAGCTTACACAATTACTTTGAAAATGCACGTTAAAATCTAAGGAACACATTGCCTCCAAGATCAATACGAAAAGTAAATGCTAATTGATTATGACAGCTTTGTCTTCATCACTGGCCCCATTCTCCATTTGTACTTTGTTAATATCTCAGCTCAAACACCACTCTCACCTCTATTCTCCCCCAGCCACATTCATACTTTGCAATGATAACAGATGGAGTTTATGCACAACTGGCTTGTCCCCCTCTTCCCATAGTTGGTCAAAAGGAACAGCCTGAAAACAACAACAACAACAAAAAACAACCCTGGAAGTTGCTGAAATTCTGATGTCTTTCAGCAGTTTTGTAGATTTGATAACTTATCTTTCATGGACTATGCAAGGTCTCTGGTCCCCAGCATCTGTCTGTTGCACCTGGGGAAAAGATTAATTCCCCCTTTTTATGCGACTGAACCAAATTTAAGAGACAGACAAACAAACGGCCTTAACAGAAGAAGACAGCAGCACATCCCTCTTCCTCCCGCTGGCTAGCCTCTCTCACAGCCTCCACGCGGACCGGAGGGAAGGAGGAGATGCCTTCTAGCCCAAGGCTTTGCCAGCTTAGGATGAAGCCTGCACCTGCAGACCAGGCTAAGAATTGGTGCTCCCCCAGACAGGGGACCTGGGGATGGGTGGTCATGAGCACACGCTTTTGGGAGGGTGCTTTGTATCTGTAAAACATAACCTACGCATCATTTACAATTTCCCAGACTTAAAGAATTGTGCCTGGTCACCCAGAGACATGATTATACATCACGGAACTTCATTATAATAATGGCTCTGGTACTCCAACTTCTTTAAAGCCTCAGCTGTTCGATTCAGCCTCTTCAGCTCCATAACTGTTTATAAGATTAATAGACTCTGATGCATAATTGACTCTCCCACCGGGAGAAAAAAAGAGAACGCATCTAATCCTGGCCCTCACAAAAGTAACACTCCCATAATGAGAGGTCTGTACACAGGGACGTGGCATGGTGCGGGTGACAACGGAGGTGGGTGGAGGAGCGGCCTGGAGAAAGTGGTCCGGGAGGGTCCTCGGAGGCTCTCCTCTCACAGGCTTGACTAGATGTTGTGAAAAATAGGCTTGGCTGCAGAGCCTGTGGGATGGGGTCCAGCTCCGCAGCCGGGAGCAGGGCTTGGGCTGGGAAGTGACGGCCAGCAGGACAGGGCCCCCACAAGGAAAGGAGGGAAAGGAAAGGGAAGTGGGTCCACAGAGGACCGGCCCAGGGCCTTCCAGTTTGGTGTCCGAGGAGCCCAGGGGGAGAATGATGCTTTGGGCTCCCCGTTCCCTGCCTGGTGTCACAGGATGTCCCTCCAGGACCTGCAGAAGGACCCCCTCCTGGAGGACATGGACTCCTGCTTCCAAAGCAAATGCAAGCTGGGAAGGGTGGCAGGGCAGGTCTCCCTAAGTGCTGAGGAACTCAGGGCCAGGGTATCCCCAGTGGGGCTCTGGTGAGTAAGGAAACGCCTCTTGAAGGAGTTGAATGTCAAAGGAAATGAAGGTCTTGGGTGAGAGGACCAGGAGGAAGCAGCCGTGACACAGCCGCCAGGCTCAGAGGCAGGAGAGCTGACTTGTCAGAGCTGGGAAAGAGATACGCCTGGACCGAGGACCAGCCAGCATAGGAACAGCCAGGACACCTGGTCACTGTGTCAGATCAGAGCTCAGAGTCCTACACTTCCACCTGACAAACCCCTCAAGCACAGGTGGTCACTGGTATACAGCAGCCACTGAGTCCCTTAGCAGTGACTTGAATAAGGGAAGGAGGTCTCACGAAGAGATGGAAACAGGAAGCTAGCTTATCTTACGACGGCTCTCCCGGTCTAACTGTGTATCTTCTAGGTTATTTTAATGTTCCAGAAAGACCCCACGTGCCTTGCAGTCTTACTGAAAACAAAAACAGAGCAGGCAGGAAAGGAGATTGAAATGGAGACGGGGCCTTCCTTTCTACTCTAGAATGGTGAGCGCCCCACATGTAAAGGACTTCGCTCTGTTTGAGAGAAGCCTGGATTGTTCTTTCATTCACCGATTTCTGCTTCTCTCTCTTTGCCTTAATTAACTGCCTTTTAGCTGGACATCCACACAATCTGCTTCTTCCCCGGCTCCTGGAAGACCCAAAGCAGGTTGCGAAGATAAGCCTTATCTCTGCCTCTGTTTTCCTCTTAACTGACCACCAAATGACCCCGGAGTGAAGAAGGAAGGTCAGGCCCATAGTCGTGTGCCATAATTCACACGTTCGGTCTGTGAAACCCTGGTGCAGGGGAATACAGCCACGTCACAGATTTCTAGCTTCCATCATTATTTAGATGTGGGTTCATCTCTAGGAGACATGGCCTTCTTCTGAAAGTGCATTTTACATCATGGCATAGAGATGCACCTCCCTGCCAGTGTGCATTTAACCCTTCCTGTCATTTTTGGGGGAAAAGAAACAGGGCTGAGAGCACCCAGTATCAGCTTATTGACTTACAAGAACTGTCAACCTTTTGCAGAGGAGGAAAAAAAGCAAACACACTCTGGTGGTATTAGAGCCGCTGGGTGCTAACTTGACAAGTCAATGAGATAAAGGTTCGGCTCCAGCCTCTGCCAACCTCACCGTATCGGAATGCCGGGTACTTAGCATAGGAGTCAAACAATTCCCGGGCTCTAGATTGCTTTCCTCTCCTAGGTCGACTAAATAAATAGAAAAGTAATTAACAGTGCGCTACGGCACATGAATCAGCTGGAATTTCATTAGAGCAGAACTGGATGAATCGAGACGTTATTGTGTGTCCCACCATCTGACACAGCTTTCGTGCTGGTTTTCTCTCTGCTTCGCTTCAAGAAGAGAAATTTCCAAATGTCTTAATATATCTTCACTTTGATCAAGGGGGTGGGGGGAAGAAAAGAAAAATCTTAAGTGCCTGAAATTAGTCCAAAAATAAAGAATTCTTCTCATTTTTTCATTTATTTTGGTCCTGAGATCCACGGATCATTATCTCTCTTTTGTTGTATTTTTTTTCTTTTCTTTTCCTCAATTGTTAAATATCTGAATTTTGAAATGCTCACTGAATGTCTCATTATTATTTCTCCCCTCCCTTTGGAAAATAAGTGGCATTATGTCATTTATAACAGCAGGAAGAAATGAAATTTCATAGGAAGGAAATTTATGCTCAGTTGGAAAAAGAAAAGACATTGAAGGCATTTATTTTTAACCAGCTTTAAAAAATATATTTGAAAGTACTAAATTCAAATTCACATGTTCTGAATGATATAACCTAATTTTAGCATATTAATTAACAATAAAAGTAGTGTTTTGCCTCATTCAAAGAAACAAAATAATTAACTTACTGAGGAAATAGGGTCATATGATTTCACTTTCAGAGGGTAATGAATGACATTGAGTAACTTAACAAAAAGGTTTTGCAAAGCAACCCTGGCTGTGGAGTCTGTTTGGAATTCTTTGTTAGATATCTACCGCCAGCCAGTTTTCTCCATCTCCAAATATTACCTGTCTTGAGCCAGACTGAACGGCACACACTTCAGCAGGGCCGGCGGCGTTCCTCCGCAAGAATGCTGAGCTGGAGGGGAGGTAAGCATTTGACGGCTTTCAAGGATGAGTTGAGTGTCCACATGCTCCCTGAGTCAATAAATACTAAGGTGCTTGCTACTTGTGGAAGAAATTCCAACATTTTTGCATTGTACCTATTTGGACCTTTGAACTTGCAATATTTTTGTCCCGCTTCGCATAGCTTCATTCTTGTTGGGGAAGGGGGGGAACCAGTCTTTCCAGTGGTTATTATAAAGCTAAGTGCATAAATATGCATGAGAGGTCATTATTACCACAAGATGATACTTAAAAGGTTCAAGTGTCTCTTACTAAGATTTTTCAACTTGTTCGGTTGACAACAAGTTGAAATCAAAGTCTCCAGTGTTTCGATGCTGAGCTTTGCCTTTGATTGTTCTTTCAAGGTTTGCAAAGGAACTATTACAGAGCCCTGACCGGAATTCATTCATTCATTCATTCATTCATTCATTCATTCATTTGACAAATAGTGAGATTTAATTACCTGTGTGTATTTTATACAGAATGTCATATATAAAGCATTGTAGCCAGATCTCTGAAAGTTGAATCATGGAATTTCTAGATTTTGAGCTGGAACTAAGGCACAGAGAAGCTAAGTGACTTGTCCCATATCACGTTGAGTCATATAGTCAAGACTGGAAATCAGATCTGACCTCTGACTAATCAGCTCCGGCTCTGGAAGACTTGAGAGACCAAAGCACAGAGTCATCCGGGAACCATGATAATGAAGAGCTGCATTTTGACCTATGTCTTACCTCCAGAACTTGATATTTCAAAGGGAAAATCGTATATAGTGTTATCAGAACCTTAAAGGCTCTTCAACATGACATTCGTATACGGAAATGACTTCAAGTTCAACCTTATGCTTGCAGCAAATTCCCACTTGGAGGAGATAAAATGTTCATTTTTAGGATTAATTATCCATATAGCCCTACTCTCCAGGGGGAAGGAGAAAGGTGACAGGGAACAGAATGGAGCCAGCAGCCTCATTTCTCTCTCTCTGTGGGAGAGAGTACTTGTCTGTGGAGTCTGATGGCCTTTTTAGTCCCAAAGTAACAAAGAAAAAAACAATTTACAAATGTAAAGCAGTCCTTTCTGAAATTTTCACTCCCAATCTCTGATTTTTAGGACAAATCTTTGGGAAAGGGAGCAGATGGATCCCAGGTGACGGAGGCATGCCCGCTTCCTCCGTGTGGTTCACAGTGTGTTGGGAGCACCGATGACCGTCTTCCACACGAGGCTTTCCCTGAACCCTAAGGTTAGTCTTGCCTGAGGACATTGCAGGAGAAGAGAACTGTGTAAAAGAGAAAGGCAAACTCTTTAAAAATAAGGGCTGACCTGACAGTGAGCGTGGACTCCATCAACAGAGCTCTTTGAGAAAGTGTTGCCTTTGCAATCTTCCTTAGAGAGCTTTCCAGAGTTGGAGCTCATGAGTTCTCATTTGTTGTTACCCAAAGCTGACACATTTAAACATCTACTTGGCCAATCACAAGGCTGTGGAGATGGTGGGAAGAGTGTACACTATGAGGCCCAATTTGGGTTTGAGTCTCCACTTATGAGCTATGGGAAATTGGGCAAGTGACCTAACTCCTCTGAGGTTCAGTTTCCTCATCTGCAAACTAGAAGTAATCCTTCTCACTTCGGCTCTCAGGATGGTCAGGGTTAGAGGGGTGACACACAGTGAGCTGGATCCTGGAAGGCGCTCAGCCAAGGCCCACGTCTACCCTCCCAACTTCTTCCCAAGGACAAAGTCTTCAATTGTGTTTGAATGCACCTTGGTCATCCCCAAATGTCTAATAATCATTTACCTTATTTGCAAATCATTTCCGTATACCTCTTTATTGTTTTTTTGTTTTCTTGAATGTTTTGTTTTAACATGATATTTCATTGTTTTGTAATTTTAATGTTTATGGAAGCTGCCATTTTTATAATACATTTTCTGTTTGTATAGTTTTCCTCTCCTTATATTGTGATTTGAGTTTCAAAGGGACATGCCTTTTCTTTTTCAACTCCCTTACTAATTTAGTCTTTTACCCACCTTTGCAGCTCAGAAAGTTTGCTGACTTGACCGACTAACAGAATGAGCAAAAGATTCCCAACCCAAGTGTTTTCTTCATTTTAAATTACACTGTCTCCTGCAAACTCCAGAAATGCAGGGTCAGGTGGGACCGCTGAGATCACCAACATCTCCTCTCCCACAGGCCACTGGGATAATCAGTGCTGGATAAAAATGCAGACTATGGAGACACAGAAATGAGCCCTGACAGCTCCGCCTAACTCCTGGGCATGTTTCTTTGAGAAGATAGATTTCTACCAGAGGGTTTGGGGATTTCCCCAGGATGATTTTCCATTGTCCTCTGGGCTGCCTGTAACCCTGCTGGGAAATAATTTCACAGTCCTCTGGGAACCATGTGTGCTTTCTGTTTGTCATTCTGCATTTATCTAAATATTTTGCTCAGAAGCTTGGTTCAGGTATTACACCTTTTCATGAATGACTTGCAAACATGTACACATGCAAATAAATATCAGGATCAGATTGGGTTAGTCTCACCCTGGACATATTTATTTATTCACATTTTACAAATTAAACATTTCCTCATCTGTGTACCCCTCCATTCCACCATTAGTTCTGAGTTATTCGTTCAGCCAACTTTTGCTGAGCTCCCTGGAGGCGCCAGGCTCTGGGCTCCACCCACTTGCCTCTTCACTTCTTTGCCAATTCTCGGCTTTCCGTCTTCCTTTCATCCCTCAGGAGCCCGTCTTGTTACTGTGCTCTGAGGTGCCCACACAGAATATAATATCCCATGACAGGATGTCTTTCCATGTGCAAACCAAAATAGCGCTGGCCTTTGTGCGGCTGTATTCCTTTCTAAACTCGTACTGACATGATGTCTAGTCTCACCTCTCGCACATTTTGGTCACTTTAATGGCACACATTGTGGAGAGCTGCGACAGATCTAAGTTGACATTTTGAGTTCCTTTATTTGTAAGGTTTGAATCCATTCATATTTTTTCTCCTCACCACTATTTGAATTGCGTCCCTGGTGGGAAGTCAGATGCTTGTGTTTTTCAATCCATTTTGCTTCCACTAACAAAGATGGTAAAGAAACCCTACCCAAGCTTGGCAAAGGGGTTCAAATGCATTCTTGGAAAGTAACAATTTACATAGTCTCATTTTAAATCACAGAATCTCTTTTTTAAAAACGCTTGGAGCTGGATGAGACCTGAGAAGTTCCCAGGCCCAATCCCTTTCTTTATGGATTGAAATCGAGGTTCAGAGCAGCCCCGTGGCTTGAACAAGCTCCCTTTCCTGATTTATTGGGAAGTGTGCTTCTGAGTCAGAATTAAAATCTTGGCCTCCTGGCACAATGTAGTGTGTGGGTCTTTTTTTCAAGATGATCTGTTTTTGTTTAGAAACAATACCTATGTAAAGGAAAGCACAAAATGAACTTCCGTTGCCACATCAAATCAAACACATTTCCAGTGCTCTGTGTCACGGCATATTATTCCCTCCCAGGCATCTTGAACCTCTGATTAGCATTATTTTCTTCCTCAGGGAGCCTGTCAGCTTGCCCTGGCTCTGTTGCCCTCCGAAACCAGCACAGCCCCAGGGGCCTCTTCCTAGCATCCCCGTTAATCTCTTATAGCCATGGCATGTCTGCATTAGTTGGTCATTGGCAGCCACACCCACCAACGTTGCCAGATGGACTCTGTTTGAAGCCCCCCCTGGATAGAGATTATGTTTTATTTTTGGACAACTCTAATTGTTAGAAAGTTTTCCTTCTAATCAAGCAAACTCTGCCTTCCTCTTACTGTCCTCACGGGCCCCGTTTTGCTCGGCGCCCTTCAACCGGACTTGACTTGCAGGCAAGCAGTCCGCTGGGACTGAACGTCCCCGGGGATGTCCCTGGGCCTCCTGCTCCAGCTCCGGCTCTCCACTGTCCTGACCGCCTTCACTCTGGTTCCTCATCCTGTTTCTCACTGAAGCTTGGTCATGAGCAGCACTGTTGGACTGTCCCAGCCTCTTCGTGGACCTTTCTCTGGGATATGGCCTCGAGCCTGGCCCTCCAGTCCCCTGGGTCTTTACTGTGCTGGACATGCTGACCCCGAGGCAGGAGTGCACGGGGTAGGTGGCTGGCTCCCCACTTGTTCAGCCCCATCGGTTTGGGAATGACCCTCAGACTCCAGGTCCTAGCTCTGTCCTCTGGAGTGGCACAGGGTACATCTAATCCCTGCTCGTATTTTAGGAGTGTGATCCTATCTCTGTTTCATGGCTCTGCCTCTTCTCCTGTGCATTCTTTTGAAGGATGGATATAAATGCTGGCACCTGTAGAGTTGGTGTCTGACCTGTACGTAGGCCAGAGTGCATTTTCCCTCCTCGGCTGGAATATTCTACTTTGATCAGTGCCGATTCTCTCGATTGATCTTTTTGTTAGCACAGCCATACCCCGAGCTTGTGGTCAAACAGATCTGTCCATCCCTTTCCCCTTCCTACAAATTACTGCTAAACTTGATCTCTGTTATTCTCTACGTACGTCACTTATTCATTGTCAAACTCTTGTGTATCTTGTTAATTCATATTTTTACTTGGATTTCTTATTCTAGCCCACTGCTCCTTTGGAACCCCAATTCCTTCGTGTGCCTTTACATTTCCTCCAAGCATTCCTTGTGCACTGGTTTAACACGTGAATACTTTGTGCATCAAAAGCATAGATAAACGTGTTCAGTGGGGTGTGGGTTCACAATTCTGAGACAGCTTCACAAGTGCAAATAAGTAAATGTGTGGTGGATGGTGGGAGCCAGGTTTCTCACAGCTGGGAGAGGGAAGTCACAGAGTACAAGGGAGGAGGGTACTCGGTTAGGGTCATGCTTAGCTTAGTATAGACGCAGGTAGATGGATACACAAATAAGTATAGATATGTGTGTGTATGAATTAGTGGACATACAACTATTCCCTACCTTTGTCTGCTAGGAGGACCCAGAAACAGGGACATTCCAGTAGCTTTGAACATATCCAGGCCCACATCTTGGCTTCTAACTGCAATTCTACAATAAAAGGGACCAGGGTTTCTTGAAGACATGGCTCATTCTAGGACTGGGGCAGGGAAAATACAAGATGAGGCTGGAGCAAAAAGTGAGGGCGTGTTCAAATAACATAAGGACAGGGGTAGACATATCAGAGGGACATGTGAATCAACTTGAACAAGCTCTCAATGGCCAAAGCTATAATGATTGGAGCAGAAATGTAAATAATGTAGTACTGCATTCTAACTCAAAGTGTAAAATCAACCTACACGAGTCCATGTTGACATAAATAAATGACTCAATAAATACATGAATAGAAACAAAAGGGCAAATATTTCTCACAGAAGAATCCCAAATACTTTACATAGATACTTCCTTACCCCAACCATCTGCCCTTGACTGTGGCTGGTTTTAGTGACTTCCTTCCAAAGAATAGAGTACAGGAGGGTGAGGAAGTACTTATACTGGACAAACTTGTTAAACCCTACCTTGGTCAGGTGATCAAGGTTAATGTCATCATTGATATGTCATGTAGATAGTATGTACCCTTGATATGAAGTGAGGAGAATGATACTTTATCTCTGGTTTTCCCAACCAAAACCCATGAACTGCAGTCTATTCATGAGAAAAACATCAGAAAAAAACAAAATTGAAGGCCAGTCTACAACATAGCTGACCAGTAGTCCTCAAAACTGTCAAGCCACCAAAAACAAGGCAAGACTGAAAAACTGTGACCTAGCAGAGACCAAGGAAGAAACGTGACAATGAGATGGTACTGTCTTTGCAACTTTTCTGTACATCTGACATTATTTCTCCCCACAAATTATTGAAAAATAAAAATAAAATAAAGGAAAAGACATGACATTTAAAATAATGTTTGGTAGACAAGAACAATACATTTGTGACATTCTACCAGTTGGTTTCAGTGCAATATTCAACATTTTCGTACTGAATCAGACTGAACACAAGTGTCCCTCCTGGTAGGTTAGGTGGCGCCAGGCTGGACTCATTCCAGTGGCTGAAGAGGGGTCGTTTGCTCCCAAGTCTTTCCATCACAGTATGTGGGTGTATCTAGTTCCCGAACCTTGCACGTCCCAGGCTGTTTTACTCCTCTGTGCTTTCCAGACTACATCTAGACATTACTATCATTTTTTTTTTTTGGTAGAAAATGTCTACTTAGAAACCCACTAGTATTTAAAGCGAAACGTATGTAAATCCAAAGTCCACATTAAG